TACAAAATAAATTAGTAGCATTTAAGAAAAAAACACACAATGAAAGTAAGCCTAAAGAAGAGATTTAAAATAGAATAACAAGTTTGATTAACTTGGTTTGGTTTCAATAAAATCATGGTTTAGGTCAAAATGACTGGTTAAAGTTAGGGAATTATGTCATCATACTTTTAAACAAGGAAACAAACAATCGCCTCTTGTGTTTAACATCGATGTTTTTTTTTGACCCATCCATCCACCCCAACTTCATCTTGACTCTAAAACGTCACCTGACTTCGTCCTTTGCTCCCATTATAAGTACATCTGTTTTTTTAATCAAACGTTTCACATTTTGGTGCATTTTGTTTGGAGAACTAATTAAATCTTGTTAATGGATTTGTTGCTGAACCTCTCGGCAGTTTTGAGCTGTAAACTCCGTTAACAACTGTATTCAATAATTTTGTTTTTTTTCGCAGAGCATCTGTTTTCTATTCAGTGTGCCAACAGCTTTTTCTTGATCTTGTTTTTGCCGGCGCACCTGATGTAACATTGCAAAGCAAGTCGGTTAAATTACCTCAGCTCAGTACGAGAACAATATGTAACACCAATATGTACGTCTGCCTTCACTGAGCCGGCCGACTGTCATCTCACACTGCATCTATGTGAATATTACATGTTTTTCACTCCAATGTGAAGTCAGATGCTCAGTTTTCACACATTCACTTGCTTTTTAGTGGGAGGTGAAAGAAAACATGGAGGTGATGAAGCACATAATGTATTGTTTGGAGGAGGGACAATAGCTTGTTTCAGATTTTAATAAATGTGTTGCATAATTTGAATAGTTTCCTCTGCCAAGCGACTGGCTGGGGAGGTACACAATGAAAAACTAATCTGTCGTCTTGACTTTCCCTTGACGCTCCCACGACTTGGCGCTTGCATGACTGATGTGTTTCTGTGTCCCATTTAAATGATTCATTAACATTTGAATTTGAGCCTTCTCTGTCTTCTAATTATGTGAATATAAACGAGGCAGCACCTAACTGCAGAGTCCATTAGGCGTCTTTGTGGAAAACATTTTATGAATTGTTCCCTCAGATTGTTCCAAATCAGCGATACATTCAATCCAGTGATCAAATCATCATCGACGTTTGCGTGCTTGAAGCTTATTCCTGAATTTGCAGCCAAACAGTTTTGTTTGGATACCGGATAAAAGGATTAAACATCCGGTAAACATGTAAACAGCATTTAATGAGGAAACACATTGTTTCACGATGAAATCTTTCAATGAAGCCATTAGAAATATCAGCATTTAGCGGTCAAGGGGTGCAAATCAGTAGTTACAGGAGATAAATTAAGGCTGCACTGTTCAATATTTTCAGATTATCAATAGGTTACACATGTCTAATGTGTCACATGAAAGATTTTCCCTCCATTTCAGTTCATTATTTAGCTGTCCGGTTCACAACTTCTTGGTATTTGTCACCGTTTTAATTAGAATTATTAGCATTTTGAGTCACCCGTCTCGTATGCAAATGGAAGAATAGTAGGTTTCTATGTTAATCAATACAGTTGACCCACACTGCTTTGTACTAACAACGGCTTGCACAAGCCAGAAGCACATATTTAGCCTTAAAGTCTATTTTTCTCTTTTTTGACAGTCATTGTCTGAGCACTTCAGAAACACAGGTCAACTACACTCACGCTCCTGAATGTCTCCTAAACAGGCTTTTTGTACAGACACAGCGTTGATGCTTTAATCTTCACTCTGCTCTTGACGTTTTTGAACAAGAATGAGGAATTTTATACTGAATTCCCTTTTTTTATACTCAGATTTGATCCGGCTCACTGGGCTTCTCTGAGAACTCAGATATGAATCAAGCATAACATTCAACCACTGCAACATGTTTTCTGTTCAGGAATGCGGCTACATAACTATAATCTGACATCTGAATCAAGAAATAATATTATTTTAGCATTACAAATATCATTTGGGTGAAAGGGCTTCTACATACTGGTATGTAAATCATTACAGACAGAAGAAATGATTTTCATAATTATCAGCACTGTTAATTTAGGGCAGCTGTGGCATAAACCTTGCATCGGGTGGTGGTTTAATACATTTGTTAAGCACTGTATATCTTAACACATACTTCTTTTTCTGTGATTTTACTAGATATTATCTGTAATTTAACAAAACAGGAAAACAAAACATCTGCAAAATACCAGTAAATTGTTCAAAAAAATGAAAAAACTTGTTGTTTTTTCAGTGTAAAAAGCTAAATTTAGTCTCCCTTTATTAAAAGACGATGCCTCTACAAACAAAATGAATGTCTCAAAGGCTCCCTGCTTTTATCCTGACAGCTTCCTCCTCTGCACACATACTTCAAAGATCAGCAGTGACCTCTGTGAAATCATTAATTTTGTACTTTTAGCCTTTAGGAGCATCAAGTATGCAGGCCTTGACGTGCGTGCCTGTTTCTGCCTTCACCACGCTGCTAAATCATGAGAATTAATGACTTTCTAGTGCTAACACTCGAGTCATTAGAAGGTCCTTTGTGCCAGAATGATGCAGATGGCCGAAGCTGAGGAGGGTAATGATGGAAACTTGCAGCCATGAGACTTTGGGGGGGGGGGATTGTTTCTGAAATTGGTCTCAGAATATCTAAAAACAGTTTATGTGTGCTTGAGTGGAAAATATCTGTCAGCCAGGCTTTTGTGCCTGGTTTGTTGGGAGTTTGTTGCTCTGCAATCGTGATTCGGGTAAAGAGGCAGCTGAGGGTTCTTCAGCCTCCGACCATGTGTTTGCTACGGGGAGGCTGAGGCTGTACATGACACTCTGGCTTATTCTTTTCAAATGTAGTTTATCTTTGCTTCTTCATGACTGTCTTGGTCTCTAAGGGCCGGTTTATGGTCTGTTTGAGCTACTTTGCAAGACGTGCTGTCCGAACACGTCGCAAATCAAGTGTTTACAGCTGATCCAACCAGCTGCACTCTGAGGCAGAGCGAGAAGCCAATAAGTCAGCGTGGGTGGAGGGCATAAACTGCTAAAGCCGTTAAAATACAGATAACAGTCAACATTTTCAGACAGTCGATGCAGGGAGACATTCCTACAAAGTGTCACTGATGGTTTTAAAAAAAGAAGCACGATCCTCGGCTCCACTTCTGCCGATCACAGCATGAAGTTGGTATAAAAGTCAGATTTACAGACACAGAATCCTCCAATCTGACGTCATGAAGTTAACAAACCCTCCGACAAGCAGATTGCACATGGCAAGGTTAAGCCTCTCTTGTGTCCATCGTGGACATCCCATATTTCTAGCCTTAATGCTTCAGGATTTAATCTTTAACATGACAGTTCCCTTTGTGCACAAACCCGGATCCATTAAGAGGTTGTTTTTTTAGTTTGATCTGCGCAGAACGCAACCTCAACCTCATTTAATGCCTTTGAGATAAACTGTGAGCTCAGCAGTCAACATCTCACTTTGGAACGCTTTTGGGAAGATTCCTATAGACAGAGTCCAAAATCTCCTGCAAACCCTGACCCTGAAGAATGGAGGCAGTTTAAGCAGATTTTTGTTTCTTGTTTGCAAAGACACATTCAACACTATTAAATGGTTCCAAAATCTGGTTCTTAACTGGTGGTATTGTTCATACTTAATCCTTTGTTTTTTGACTTTTATTTACTTGTTATTCTGTTTGGTCTGTGAATCACTAATGTATTAAAACCATTTATTATCACTCACTGTTTGTTGCGCATGCTTTTGGTATACAATGTACATGCAGTGGCATATTTTAAATCCAAAGACTCAAGCAGGTGTAATGTCCAAAACAATAAATCAAAAACCAAAGAAAATAATGTACCATGCACAAAACTTAAAATCTTACTGTATCTGTTTCTCCAGATTGAAGAAGAACAAGAAACCGGATATGCTGAAGGAACCACAGAAAGTGAGTTGTTTAAAAAACAAAAAAGATTTTTGATTTGTTGTGAATTTCTAGCCTGACTGCCACAATCCTTGAATCACTCTAACACCAAACAAGCATCACAGTTTCACCAAAGGGAAAAACGGAGCAGAATCTGTGATCATCAGTCCACTTGTACATTTATTCTGCACTACATACAACAACCTGAGCTGGTCTCGAGGTCAACAGAGAGCTTCAACTGAACTGTGCTTCTTTAGCTGCCCAACATGCATCACAAGTTTCTCCAAAGTCATGAGCTGCATCATCTTTTGCAGACTTTGTGTACATTCAAACTAGTGATGCACGATATCTAAATACCGATACCGATACCAATATCCGATATTAAGATGTCGCCGATGACCGATATTACTGATGTCGATATTCAATTTATGTTCACATCGAATAATGAGCATAAGTAAGCACTGTGAGAACATGAAGACTATTCAAAAGAATCCTATATTAAATTAGACCACATAGTCTTTGTTATTACGTAACAAAAGTAAAACATATTTTAACATAACTATCAAGTTCAGGACCATTTAAGCAAAAACATCTGTGAAATAGCAGCAATATCAGATGTAGAGACAAAGGCGCTAATGTTAGACAATCATCGGTTTTTCACATCGGCTAAATTTGTTCTTTGGACCGATACCGACATATCGGAAAAAAACACTAACATCAGCCGACACCGATGTGATCACCCATGTATTGTGCATCCCTGATTCAAACCCTTTACAATCTTTGTTTTCAGTACATCTTGTGATATGAATTTCAAAAACCAAGCACAGTGATACACACAGGGCTCAGAGAACAACCTTACCAAAGCTTCTTTTCAGACTTCACATCTATTTCAGCCACAATATGTCGCTGACTCGTTTGGCCTTTTCTTATTTGCATCAGTAGACTATCAGTGGTTTTCACTCTGATAAATAATTACTATCATTATATTTTATCTTATATGATTATATATTTCAGCACATCTGATAAATGTATGTGAACACAAGGTGAAAATGGCCTGCTTGGACGTACAATGGATCATTTTCAACAGACTATCAAAAGACGGGCAACAAACTGGCCAGCCCAGTGTTCAGAGCACATGATCACCAATGAAACCTGATTCTAACCTCATCAGCCCATTAACATAAATATGCGCCAGTAGGGAAATCCTCTGCTGTCTAGTTGGCCAGAAGGCCTACTATCATCCATTCTGATCACTGATTAACAGAAATCTACCCTGATAACTTTGGCGATTTCTTGTCAGTTGTGTAAATAAGTTCTTGTTAAACCTCCAGTAATTATCCTGAAAATGTACTTTATTGGAGATTATAGGAATAAAAAGCATCTGGGCATCTCTTTTAGGTTCGTGAGGATGTTTTACTGTCATCTTAGAGGCTTCTCAGTTCTACCTGACTGACAGGAAGAAGGTATAGACGTAGCAACAGGTTGTCTTTTAACTCAAATCATGATCTTGAGTTGGTGCCTAAACATAACCAGACAGGCTTCAAACCAAAGTAAACACTGAGTGAAAAACAGCAAGTGAAAGCAAAAGCCAAAATAAAGCTTAAATTAAAAAAAATAAATAAATATTAGTAGGATAAAAAAAGCTCCAAGAAGTCCAATAGCTTGCTCACTTGCACCATCACCAACATCTCTAAATGTGTTTGTAAATGCCAAATTGAGGCTTAATGAGCTACTAGAAGGTGGAGGATCTTCCTACTGGCCCATATGTGGGAATGACTTATGTTGATAACTGTCATTTAATGGGTGAAAACAGATGTGGAAGCTCTGAGCAGCAGGTCGCTGGTTCGATTCCCAGCTGGGAAATGTTGTCTACAGGTCATTCTCCTGCTGTCTTTCCACACACATCCTGTTTCTCTCAACTACCACGATCAAATAACGTGTAAAGAACCCTCTTTTCTATATCACAAAAACACACCTCCGTGCCCTCTCCCTCCTTCTTTCATAAAGCCGACTCCATTCAGCTTTTCATGGCAAACAACACAAACCGTTCCATCTCAGTAAATGCCAAATGTCGTGTAGCTGCTATTCGCCAGATGAATGAACTTCTCCCTGCAGCCGCCGTGTGTGCGTGCGTGTCTCTGTGTGTTTTTATCAGCGTCAGTTTGCATCAACAGCACTGATTGTGTAATTTAGGGGGAGGCTCGTCTGTTCGTTCGCCGTTGCCAGTTAGACCTGATGTTTTTCTCGTCTCGTCTGTGCTAAAGCCTCCCTGCAGCGGCAGAGGGGAGGACAAACCTCACATGTAGTCTGCATGTTGGCCAGCAAATTTGCACGAGGCGCATTTATAACACAAAATTCAGTTTGTCTGCAGCAAGAAAGTCAAATCTTACCTCTCTTGGTTCACATTTTGTTGTCCAAACGTGCTGCAAAAAAAGACTGTCAGGATCATGAAGAGTGAACCTCAGCCCTATGTGCTTGCTAACTTGACTTTCTGACTCAAAGAAATTCATGAATAAATGCATATTAATATTATTACTGGTATAGCTGTTGCCACTACTTTGATAAAAATGTAGATGTGGCCATTAATTCTTCTCAATAACTGAAGGTTGTAGCTGCTTTACAGTGTAATAATAATAAAATATTAAACTGCTGGTGAACATTCGTTGCTCAATTAGTCAAAAAATTCATCATGACAAATGCTTGAATGATGCACAGTCTAATTATGCTTTCAGAGGCTCTGCCCCTGCCATCTGTATTTACTTTGTCATAAGTAATAAGGACGCAGCTTCTGTTTCTTCTAAACAAACCGCAGGTGCTGTTGTTGGAAAGACTTTCTGCTCATAAGAGGATTTTTCTCACAGAGCAGGAAATATTAGCAGAACCAGTCGAGCAGATTTGAATTTAGATGAAAAGTTATCACTTTAACCTTTTGTATGAGCTTCTTAAAGCACCAGCATCTGTTGTTTTCTCAGCATTTTGTCTTGTTATAGAAGAAAAAGCACAGGTTTAACTCAACAAAGGCACTGGAACACCTCAAGTTGGCCAAACAGCTGGAAGAATTATTTCCTATGATCTGGTATTACACATATTTTGAAGGAAACATTATACTGTAGTAACACAACGCTCCATCTAAGTGTCGGCTTATACATGATATTCGTGCACAACATGCTGTAGCGCAGATATGCCAAAGTTATAAGAGGAAGCAGCAGCGGTGAGTCGGTGGACCATATACAAAGTTTTTACCCGCTTTGTGTGTGTGCCAGTCATGTGTGTGCACTAGAGCTTACATGTTCATATATTCAGCCCGATCTGAGCCCCACAGGGCAGAATTTCTTACCCAGTACATCCCTGAGGAACAAGTAAAGAAAGGAGCGACTGCTTAGCAGTGAATGACAGGATAGATAATGTTCTTAATGCAGGTTTAGTGTGAAACGGAAGGAACCAAAAGTCTTCCTTAACAAGGAAACTGTGATTGTTTCTGGTTATTAAAGACAAATTACATTTATTTAAACTCACGCTGGGTGTCATGTTTTTAACTTTTGTTTGGCTTGGTCGTATTTTACATCAGCATTGTTCTAAATTAAACAAAATCTTATTTAAGTTAGCTAATAAACCCAGATTATAGCCTTCTAACGCATGAGGATGCACATTGACATGCCTTAAATTCCTTATTCGCTCTGTGAGAGCAAGGCCGCGCAAACAATATCAATCATTTTATCATTTACAAACAGCTTGTAAACAGTTGGGCTGTAAAAGATGAAGCAATGTAAATTAGATGTGTGTGTGTGTGTGTGTGTTTGTGTGTAGTTGTATTGCTCATGTTGTGAGGACACAAATCTCTATGCAGTTACACTGTGGAGTCGAACATAAATCATGCAATTTTAGCGTGAAAGGGTTTAAGAGCAGGTCAAGGGCTCGAATAAATGTCAAGGAAAATCATGCAAGTCGATGTAAAGTCCTGGAACGTGAGTCTGTCAAGGTGTGTGTTTGTATTTTTCCTTCTAGCATTGTGAGGACCAATCTGAGTGTTTTAGCATCAAAAGTGAGGACGTTCTGGTTGTTCCCCACTTTGGGGAAAACGGACTTTAAGGGGTCTGACAAATGCAAATTGTAATTTTAACCAGATATGTTAAAATGTAACACGTAAAAGTCTGAATTTGTGATTTTGAGGTGAAGATGCTCAGCCTTGCTGTTGGCTGCTTATTTCACACATAACTTGTCTTGGAAAAAAAACACCATATGAACACGTTAACAAAGTAGAAAAACTTGATTTTCACCAGAGAGGATGTTGGGTTAGACTTAGGTTCAGGACGAGGACTTTAGTTGTAATGATTCATGTTGGGTTAAGAGGTTAATGAACGCATCGTGTCAGAGACGGTCCTCACAAAGACAGAAATATAAAAGTGTTGATCTGCACCACTTGTTTAACTCTGATTTCTTTCCTCCTGACAGGTTATTGCACAGAACAGAAGACGCCAAAGGTCATCTTCATGATGGGTACGTACATGCAGCAGTCCAACAACCTTCAACACACACGCATCCTTACACATCTCAGCCTGCCTCATTAGGAAGAGTTGAAAACACACATGCAGGATAATAATGAGCAGCCGCTGAGTGTTCAACAGGCTGTTAGTTAAACTGGCCTCATTCATATAAACACTGTCACACACACACACACACACACACACACAGCTGAACAGCTCAGATAAAAGGCTGCGTTCAGAAGCGTTTCATGTCGGTTCTCAGTCGCCTCCATCGGTAGAAAACAACACATTTATCGTTATGTGATGATAATAACAGCGGTGGAAACTGTAAAACCTGCAAAACTTGAATGTGCCAATACAATTCATAGTCCTGCATGCAAAGCGTCACCTATAAAACAGGTGTTAAAATGATAATGAGTGTACGAGGGTTCTTTCACAAAAAGTTTCCAGTCTCAACAGACAGCGTCACAGGAGAAAGATAGTTCAGTGCACTTGGTCCACCGATGTTCAAGCTTCCACGGTCACATCTCGAGCCTCCAGATAGTCTTCAGCATAAATGCTCTGAAAACCACCTTAGTGCGATTTCAGTTTGGGACACAGACAGAAGTCAAATGGTTCATGGTGCAAACAAAAGCTGCTTCTGTTGCCTGATGCAGTTTGGAGGGACACGTTGTTCTGGAGCAACAACATCCAGCTCCAAGCATTCCTCCTCTTTTGTCTTTAATAGCTTCAAGCATTTGAGTTTTTGCAGACAGTGATGTCAGGCTTTATAGGACACAGCTACGCCCTAAAACGGGAGTTACACCTCTTGTTTCTGGATGAAGCCGAGAACTTCTTGAAGAACCATCGCATGAAAGATTTACATTATTGCTTCGAGTCCAGACTGAGTTTGACGATATTATGGGATATTTTAACCATTTTTTTGTTATTTATTTATCATATACTACTTACTGCTGATTTGGGCTGCAACTAATAAGTATGTACTTTAATCTGTTACTTATTTTCTTGAATAATTGATTCGTTGTTTTGCCTATAAAATGTCAGAAAATGGTGAAAAATGGCAAAATGATAGATGTCATTTTTTTTGTCCATGATTCAAAGATCTTGAGGTTACTGTCCTAAAGGAGGAAAGCAACTTGAAAATATCAAATTTAAGAAGTTGGAAGTTTTTTCACTTAAAAAATACTCAATGTGATTATTTGACTATTTAATTAGTTGCCAAATAATTTCATAGCTGACAGCGAATCAATTTATTTTTGTAGCATTGGTGCTGATTGAGTTTTTATTATGTATAATTTGTCATCTCCTGTCTTCTTTATTGTTATAGCTTCTTCTTTTTTTAAGGAAGGAACAAAAACATTAAGACAGCAACCGAACAATAACCCCGCTTCATAAAACACAGAAAAAATTTACATTTTCTGCACAGGTTATCCAGTTATATTGTGTTTAAATAAATATACAAGCACCTGTTTAGTCTAAAAAAAAAAACAAAAAACAGTTGAGGTGTTATAAGGACGTGTTTCATTTTGAAGCTTATCATTTTGAGATATTTACCGTCTTCAGCAGGTTTGATGGTTTGAACCTCCTGTTTCCAAACACCATTTAAGTAAGATGTCTCATAGGAGAGGAAAACTCCAACATTCATGCTGCACAATTTACCTCAGTGTTTCTTCTCACCCCTTGAGGAAGAGCTTTCTTTGTGTTTTTTTTTGTCATTGATTAGTATTCTGTGACAGTGGAGGGAGGCAGCATGGCTCATTCTGCTAATTGAAGAAAGGACAGAAAAAAATAAGGTTAATGAGGAAGCCTCCATCAACTACCGTCAACTCTGCTGCCATTAAAAAAATACTAAAGATACGGCCATTAAAAGATTATTTAATCAGTGCTCTCTGTATCACCCATGTGGGTTTTGTGTATTCGTGTTAAACCCCCTTTTCATTGAAACTAATACGACAAATCCCCCCTGATCTGAACCACCACCAGTTAGTCTGAATATGTGAGAAACAGGCGTTGAGCTTTTTCTCAGCAGGAGCAGATAATTGGAGAAAAATGTCACCGGCATGTTCGGTGTAACAACTGTCACCAGGACTTGGATGCGTCTCCTGAGCAGATTTTATCCCACATAATGAGAGGTTGGCCGCACCGGCTAACATTTCATTCTGTTTACAACCATTTGTAATCATGCTGTCAGTACAATACAACATAAAGTGGGATTTACCGGCAGCAGAAGGTGTCATCTTGTTTGTCTCGGCTGATAAGAGTCTAACATCGTATCAGGAAAGTCTTTCTGTGGCTACCTGCTTTAACTTCAGCTCATATCGTTCTCCTCTGATCTCCTTTAGACATTTTATCAATCACTGCTGTGCCTGCAGGATGCTCCCAGCACTATGTAAAACAGGCTCTGTGAAAGGCAGCAAACACGAGCGTGTCATATATGTAATGACAGACTTGAGTTATGCCTTTTTAGTTGCTGAAGTTATTTTAAAAAGAGCACCCTGACATTAGAATAATCCAGGGAGAATACATGTGAAAGCTTAAACACCTTTTTCAGGTTACTTTGGGGCAACTGTAAACACACCAGCTGCTATATTATGAGCTTATGTACACATCCAGCAGTTACCGAGCTACAAAACTGTTAATTCATTTCTATGTTAGTGCTCAGTTTGTCAACTCTAGTAGTGATGTAATGGATCACAGTGGATCCACACAGATTCCCACCGATGCTTCAGGATTCATTTCAAAGTTTAGCAATCACAGTGTGACTTCTTCAGCTCATTAGAAGATCAACATCACAATTTAAAGACAATGGTCTGAATCGACACCAAAATAATTAGCCATGCTTTCATTAAGATTAAATTTGACCTGGTAGCTGACAAGTGATCGAAAAGTTCTGGGACTGTTCATGGAGCGTGTCACGGTCAAGTATGTGTGAGCAGCAACTGTCAGGAGACCACGTGACACTTCAGTGTCAACAGGGGGACCTGTTTATGCGCCTCTTTGTGACCACTGGTAGGTGCACATTAGCGATTTCTCCATGAACCTCAAACAGAAGCAAAAAAGAAAACATCACATTTTGTGCCAGTCTGCAGTTGGATGGTCCAACTTTCACATGGAGGATCATCTCAGGTGATGAGAGGTGGGTCTGCAGCTACCATCAACAGAAGAAACAGCAGTGTTGGCAGTGAGAGAGCCTGAGGTTTCCAAAACTAACTGGACAAGGTGCACCAGGACCATGCTTCTAAACATTCATGTGGCCGTGCACGGTGAACTTGTCCCCCAGACTCAAACCGTCAGCGACAATGTTGTTCTGTAATGTTCTAAGGAGTCTGAGGGACTCCTTGGTGCAAACTGTGCCATGACTGGGAGCAGTGTATTGTTGCACAAGGAGACCACTTCAACAGGGATGGTCACTAGATTTAAATCAGGTGCTAGTTTTGCCTTTTTACAGGCACAGTCTCTGAATTTTTTGATCCATCCTGTTACCCGCAAACAAACTGTAATGATCTGACTCAACTGATAGCGGCACCCTGCGGCTGCACAGGCTCTGTAATTTCGTTCTAAGTGCATTTTAATTTCTTTTAACGTACTAATTGAATGACAATAAAGTAAATCTATCCATCTATCCAAACATACCTTAGCCTCTGCAAGAAGTAATTCCCCTAAAAACTGGCGCAGAGTTGAAGTTACAAAGTTGTTGTTTATTCACATGAATGGGGCACGTTAAGGCTAAGAAGAGCATTCAGAAAGTTAAAGTTGTGGGTCAAACAAATACCAAGTAGACTTTAGAGTATTACTATAAGCAATCCTGTTCACATAGTCATTATAGGAAAAATAATGTGTCTTGAATCGATGTTGGAAATTACAACATTAATGCCTGTTTTATGTCAAGATCATAAATACATCATCATTTTTTGTTTTTTTTTAAGAAGACCTCTGTCTTTGTTCAAAGGTTAATACGTGGGCCTCTTTTTAAAATCCAGCTGCCACTGCACTATTGTTGGAAAACTGAATGAAGCAGCACATGAATGCCACAAAAATTTAGATTTTTGCACATTCTCAGCTTCCTACATCAAAGATCTTCCACATGATAGCTTTTCATCCAGTATAATATGAATCCATTCATTCTGCTTTACTTTTAGATTTTCAAAGGAACTTTTAAAGTCAGAGTTGCAGCAAGGAACAAGTGCAAGGACTGAATTTACATAGAATAAAGCCAGTCAGTATGAGCAGAGTCATCGGCTTTGAGTGTTTTTTTTGTGAAGTAAAAGTGAATCCTGTCTGCACTGTAAGCTTTGTGTCACCTCTGAGGACCTGGTTTCTTTCGTCAGACATCGGGCCGGCTCAGGTCTTATTGACACAGGATGATGACTCCTCACTTATGCATAAAAATGTTCGTGTCCTCTCGCCAACCTCGTGTCCTCCTGTCGCTCTTTTATCAACCATCTTCTTTGATGCCGCAGCTTCAAGGGAGACGGAGGTTATCTGTCAGACTCTGGTCTCTTATCAGGTGGAGAACAGTTCAGAGTCAGTTGAAAACCATCTGCTTTACCGCTGAAATGATGCTGAAAATTAGCGTGAGAGCATCATCAAGGAATAATATAGTAATGTAAGGGGGGGAGGCTAGGTTGCTAGGAAACAGGAATGAACTATGTAAACAGGAAATGTAGTGCCATAAGCTGTATTAACTGTAGATGCAAGTATCTGTTTATGTATGTCTGTACACATGGAGAAATATGTTAGCAGTTATAATGAGTGAAAAATGTACTTTCATGTAAACATATGAAGGTAATTTAATCATTTAGTCACATTATTGGCAGAGCATTTTGCAACTATAGTCCTATTAAGATGAAAGACCACTCCAAGGAACTCTGTGAAAGAGTTATTGAAAAGCATAAGTCAGGGGATCGATACAAGAAAATGTCCAAGTCACTGAACATCCCTCGGAGTACAGTTAAATCCACCATTAAGAAGTGGAAGGAATATGGCACATGCATAAATATGCCGAGAGCAGAC